CGACCGATGACCGACGACGGGCGACGGACGACGGACGACAAACGACGACGACAAACCACGACGACGACCACGACGACGACGACGACGGACGACGACGACGACGGACGACGGACGACGGACGACCGACCGACCGACCGACCGACCGACGACCGACGACCGACGACCGATGACCAACGATGGACGACGACGGACAACGGACGACCGCCGACCGACGACCGACGATGGACGACGGCCGACGGACGACCGATCGACGTACGACCGAAAACGTAGGACCGACGACGGACGACCGACGACGGACGACGCACGACGGACGACGAGCGACGACAACGACAACGGACGACGACGACGACGACGACAACGACGACACCGATTACGACGACGACGACGACGACGACGACGACGACGACGACGACGACGACGACGACGACGACGACGACGACGACGACGACGACCCGACGACCGACGATCCACGACGGACGACCGACCGACGATCGGTTTGGGACGACGACGACGACGACGACGACGACGAGACCGATGACGACGACGACAACGACCGACGACGACCGAAGACGACGACAACGAAAACGACGACGACCAACCGACCGACCGACCGACCGACCGACGACCGACGGACGATCGGTTCGTGTGCCCCAGGGCTCCTGCGCGGCGGCCGCAGTCTCGGGGGCGAGCCGCAGCTCCTGGAGAGTGTTGCTCCCTGCCTGGCCGCGGACGCCGTCCTTGTCGCCGCTGACCGTGGAGCCCTGCGCTGACTGCACGAGCGGTGCGCGCACCATCGGGGAGGTCGCTCTCCCCCCTCCCTCCCTCCCTGCCCCCCGGATCCCCCTTGTTCCTCCTCCTGCACCTCCGCCTCCTCCACCTCCACCTCCTCATCATCCTCCTTCCTCCTCCTCCTCCTCCCCCTCCTCCTCCTCCTCCTCCTCCTCCTCCTCCTCCTCCTCTTTCCTTTGCTCCTCCTCCTCCTCCGGCGGCGGCGGACGCGCGTTCGCTCGCTGATCAGAAGCCGGCGCGCTCCCTCGTTGCCCCTCGAACGGGACGGTCCCCCCGAGACCGACGCGCACGCGGCGGCCGCTCCAGGGGGAGTGTTGCGCTGGCCAGGGCTCGTAACCCCCGAGGCAGCCCAGCGAGGCGGCCAGCGCCCCGCACAGCAGCGGCCTGCCCGCGCGGCGCCGCCAGCTCTGGGCGGGCCAGCGCCGCCTCTGTTCCGCGCGGGGGCCACGGCGCCGCCAAACCCGCCATCGGTCCAGCGCGGCGCCGCCGCCAGCCCAGCAGGCAGCGTCAGCTTGGCGGCCGCGTGCGCGCAGCTCGGGCGTCGTCCGCGGCGTCAGCAAAGGCTTGCCCTGCAGCCCGCAGTCGGGCGCTCAGCAGCAACGAGCGCGTCCAGCCTCAGCCTGGAACTGCACCGGGCGGCGCTCCGGCCCCAGCCCATCCTGGCGGCAGCGCCGCGGTCCTGGGCTGCGCCGGCGCGAGCGCGGCGGCGGCCCGCCAAAGCCGCGCCTGCGGGGCCGCGAGGACCGCGTCCGCGGCGTGCCGTTGCAGCACGCAGCCGAGGGACTGCTGCAGCTGCCAGATGGCCGCCAATAAACGCGCCGCGCTTCCTGGGAGCGCGAGCTGCTGCCGCACTAAGGCCGCCGCGTCCTCGCTGAGTCTCCTTATGGTCTTCTACGACGAACGGGGCCCCGTTCGCCAGGAGGGCGTCTAGCGACGGTGCGCACATGACCGCGAGGTCGATCATGAGTGGCACCGCCACGCGCAGCGCGTGGACCACCAGATCCACGCGCGCCGCGGGGTTCTGCGGTGAGGCACGCGGCAGCACAGCGTCTGTGCACCGTGCAGCCCTCTTCTTCGCACCACCGCGCCAGCACCGCGCCGCCCGCGTCGTGCCGGCGGACGAACCACCCGTCGACCGCGCAGCCCCGCGCAGCCCCGCGGGCGCCTGGGGGTGCCGGTCCTCTGGCCCAGCAACGAGCGCACCGCAGATGCGGCCGTCTGGCCGCCGGTGCTGGCAGAGACCAATACAGACAATCATATCGAGGTTCAGACAGACCCAGTCGCGTTGCCAAACTGCGCGTCGGCGAGGCGGTGGCACGCCCGCGTGGGGGCCTGAAGCCAGCCACTCGCCCCGATACCTCCGGCCGACCGAACGCAGCGACCAGGCGGGCAGCAACGTAGCAAATGAGGCCGTAGCCAGGGAGTTCTGCGTTGCTGCCAGGGCCTCGTCGTCCACCTGGACGGTCGCGCCCTCCAGCGCCATCTTTGGCGTGGTCGTGGCTGCTGGGAGGCAGCGGCGCGCCCGGCCAGGGGTTCAGGGTCAAGCCCGGCCTGCGCAGGCAGTGCGGCAGGCAGATATGCCAGGAGGCGGCGGTAGCTGCTGGCGCCGTCAGCTCCGCGCTCTGTAGCCTCAGGCCCCCTTCTCGCCCGCTGAGAAAAAGCTGCCCGTCCACTTCCCTAGTGTGACCGCACGCGTGGGCCAGGAACGTAAAATCCGAGGCAGTCTTGTGCCGCAACATCGCAATTCCAGTCTGTCGGTCTAGGCCGGCTGCCTGCAGCTGGCGGAACCGCAGGTAGAAGCGGGCGCGGTTCTGTGCCAGGGCCGTCACCTCGGGGCTGCCCTCGGTGAGCATGCTGCTGTCGGCTGGGGCGGCCGCAGGGGCCGAGAGCACCTTGGCGGGCCTGCCTTGCCGCAGCACCAGCGCCCTTGGCCCCATCTCCCGCCTGCCAGGGAGAGCAGCCGCGGCCACCTCGCGCCCAGGGCTGAGTTTTGTCTTCGCCAGGTTGCCACGCAATCCCGCCGCAGCGCAGGCCCGCGCAGACGCCTCCTGCTGCTGCTGCTCGCTCTTTTGCTCGTCTCGCTTTCGTTTAACGCTCGTCCTTATCCGCCCTCCCCCTCACCCCTCATTCCCTCCCCATGCCTCCGCCTCCTCCTCCTCCTCCTCCTCCTCCTCCTCCTCCTCCTCCTCCTCCTCCTCCTCCTCACATTCCTCCTCTTCCTTCGCCTCCTCCTTCTCCTCCTCCTTTTCCTCCTCCTCCTCCTCCTCCTCCTCCTCATCATCATCATCATCATCCATTGCTTCTCCGTATAGATAACTCTTCCCTGTCGCACCCCGAGGCCAGTTTTTACGGCGGGCGGGGCGTTTCGCCTGAGTCTTCCTCACCAAGTACGACTCTGAAGCTTAAACAATGGCAATAGTTTCACAGATGGAGGGCGGGCCGTTTTCAAACTGTGGCTCTCGCCTTAGCGCCGCGTGCATTCGTTGTCAACATTTGCAGGAGTTTCACGGGTTGGGGGCGGGTCGTTTATAACATGTGGCTCTCGCCTTAGCGCTGCGAGCACTACTGGATGTAACAAGTTGCCAAACCTTCACGGATTCAGGGTGGCTCCTTTTCAAAATGTGGTTCCCGCCTCAGCGCCGCGCAGATTCATTTTAAAAGTTTACAAAAGTGTCATGGATTCCCATGATCAACGTACCAAACATAATGTTTTGGAAGGGTTCAGGATTATGCGGGTGCAACAGTTATGTTGTTTCGCGGTGCTGCAATCCAAAAATTACGTTATGGCACGATTCCATATCGCCGAAACGCAGCAGTCAGGTTGAAGCGTGGCGCTGAAATCCCGAGAACAATATTCTGGCATGCCTCAGGATCTTCAAACGGCTGTCTTCCAACGCAGAAGTTCCCTCAATGGAAATGAACCGCTGTAGGGGCTTACGAAGAGGGAGCTTGGAGGGAGGGTTAATTCCAACATCGTTGACGACTCTTGGGGTTACACTGGTCCTCCTCCTCCTCCTCCTCCTCCTCCTCCTCCTCCTCCTCTTCCTCCTCCCCCTCCTCCCCTCCCCCTCCTCCTCCTCCTCCTCCTCCTCCTCCTCCTCCTCCTCCTCCTCCTCCTCCTCTTCCTCCTCCCCCTCCTCCCCCTCCTCCTGGCTCAAGCCGCTCTGGCTCAAAGCCTACCGTGGGCAGGTGGCACCTGCTTCCATCTTTTTAGCCTACCGTAGGCAGGTGGCGCCTGCTTTCTCGCCAATCAAGCTCCGCCCCAGGCCAGCAGCCAAGCCTGGGGCCTCCCTCGTTCCGTCAGACATGGGCGGCCAACGACAGCCAAGCCGTGGCAGAGGCGACGGACGGAAGTACCTCTGCTGCCAGTCTGGTGGATGCAGAGGATGGACATGGGCGGACAAGCCGTTCAAGTATTGTGGTCAGTGTGGCTCAGCCTTCATAGGACGAAAGACAGGACAGCCTGCTTCGGCCCCCCAGTCACCGACTACATCAGGCGGCACTCCCAACAGGTGGCGCAAGCGCTCGTCCAGCCCAGCGCCGAAGGGCCACCAAAAAGGAGCTGCAGTGTGCGTGAACCCGATGAGCCAGATCGAGATCCAGTTGCTGTGTGCTCGGCAGCTGTTCAGCTCTGGAAGAAAATGGAAGGCATCAAAGGGAGTCACTACCTGCAGGCCGTGGAGGAGTTAAAAGCAGTGAAAGCACCGACGCTGGCAGCAAAACCTTGGGACCAGCAGCGGAAGTCGCTGCAGGGCCAGCTCGAAGTCGCCAAGAAGAAGCTGCTCAGTGCCCAATAGGATTGTGACAAAACGTGTGAGGCCATGGTCACCCTGGCCAATGACTACACCAACCAGTGCAAGCTCGTCGCCGACCTGACAGCGGAGACGCAGCAGTTAGAGACCCAGCACAAGATGGCAGTTGAGCAGGCGTTGAGGAACACGTCAGCTCCTCGGCCCCCTCGCTGGGGACGTACATCACCAGCCAGTTCCCGCCTGGGCTCGCACCGTCCGCCGAGGTGAAGCAGGCCGTTATGCAGTTGTCGGCGAAGCTACATGACGAGTGGCAGGCAGCCCAGGCAACCCAGGCCAGCTCTCAGCTACCCCAGACGGCGCCCCAGGTGGCGGCAGCGTCCCAGACGGGCGCCGAGGAGGTGGCCGTAGGCCCAGCCGCTGCCGCTGCCGACCTGACGGCGCCGCCGCTGGCCGCGGATGACACATGCCAGTCGTCCCAGGCCGCCACCGCCACCCCATCGGGAGACGTCAGCCGTGAGCTGGCAGCAGGCCTGGACGCCGAGGCCGAGGCCATGCAGCTGGACCAAGACGAGGCAGACAAGCGGGGCCAGGGCATGAAGCGCGCAGGCGACGCGATTGACCAGGTTCTGAGCATAAACGGCCAGAACACGGCGCTCACGCCCCCGCAACAGATGGCCAACACAGCGCCCCAGTCCAGCGCGAAGGCTCTCTGCCTGGCCAACAAGGGCAAGGGCGGCAAGGGGGCGGACGGGACGCCGTGTGGGTAACACAGTCAGGTTCGCCACAATCAATGGAAGCTGCTGGAGATCCATTCGGAAGTTTCTGAAGTCAAAAGCAGCCGAGACGGTGGACATCATCTGCTGTCAAGAAGTTCGGGTATTGAAGGATGCGCTCCCTTTCATCGTACAATGGTGTGAGCGAGAGGGGTGGAATGCGATGCTCTCTCCAGCCGTGCTCAGTGAGAAAGGGTACCCAGTCCGAGGGAATTTTGATTCGTGACGGGCATGACTTTGGAGTATATCGCGTGCCAGTGCCTGCAGGGGTAGCAGAGTCACGGTGCGCAGCAGTTTCACTAGAGCCCCCTGGACATCGTCCATTCGTACTAGTATCACTCTGCTTGGCCGACGGGGTGGGCCTTAACAAGTATCACTTAGAGCTCCTAGCTGGGGTCGCAATGATTCAGGACGCTGCACGACAGCCACTCATCATTGCTGGGGATTTCAATGTTCCGACGAGTAAGCTTGTCGAGTCGAACTACCCGCTGAGAGCAGGCCTTAAGATTTTGGCCCCGACCAAACCAACATGTAAGATGAAGAAGTCTAAGTCCATCATCGACTCCGTTCTCGCCTCGTCGCGTTTCGACCAGGACCTCTCAGGGGCCACTGTTCTGGACGAGTACCCCATGAGCCCGCATAGGCCCGTGCTGTTCCAGCTGCGCTGCGGGGGGCCCTTCATGGTGCCAGTCTTGGAGAAGCCCCAACCTCTCGCTACTTCCAGGCCTTATGGGCCGACAAACCATGTGCCGTCTTGGGGCCGAACGGAGGCCGCCTTGGATTTCCTGGACCAGGTCATTGATAGAGAGTCTGGGATTGAGGCCCGCCTGCTGGCCCTAGATTCGGCATGCCAGTACTTCGCCTCGGACATGGCGAAGACGATCAGCATTCGCACGGGCACTCCGATCAAGTCGCCCACCGCCCCGCAAGTGGGCCTTCCAAAAGTCCGCCGGGCACCAGGGGCCGCTCGGGAGGTGGAACCCAGGGCCAGTTGGAGGAGTCTATCTATTCCGATTCGGTGGTTGAAAAAAAAGTTATGGATGTCATCCGACGGTATATTCTAGGGAGGAGTTTTACCTTTCGGAGATTCTGACCGGCATCCAGCCACCACCCCCAGAGCTCGAAGGTACCGAGGAGTTTGCCCGTTTGCTCGCCAGTGTTGGGACTGCTCTAGGCGCTGCTGCCCAGGACCAGGACAATGGCCAGATGGATCCCAAGCTCGTGTTGGAGGTTTTTGAAGAGCTCGATGATGCAGTCGATCACGCGCTCCAAGCTGAGGAGGCCAAGGACCGACAAAGTGATACAACGTCTTGGAACAACTGGGTCCAGGAGGCCATGTCTCGGGGAGTTGGTTGGGCCCATCGCTGGACCTCGAAGCTCACGCCCTGGCAACGTCAGAAAGCTTGGCGCCCCGAGCTGCAGACATTTTCAGGTCGGCCTTCAGAGTTGCTCCAGTCCGAGGCAGCCCGCCTCGCAGGATTGCGGCAGGCCGCGCCGCAGGAGCAGGACTTTAACTTGTCGTCGGCCGAGCGTGACCGCTCGGAGCCCATCGCGCCTGGCCAGATCAGATCGGCTGCCAAAAGATTCCCAAAATCTACCAGCCAGACTTGGGATGGGTTTCACCCTCGTCACTTTGCTTATCTCAGCAATGTTGAACTTGAACATGTGTGTAAGCTTTTGGCGGCGACCGAGGAGATTGGAGTATTTCCGACAGCCATCCGTGGCGTCATTATCACGTTGATTGAGAAGCACGAGCCTGACCAGTCTGAGGGCCCCTCGTACCGAGGCATCGGTTTGCTCCCTGCCCTCTGGAGGGCGCGGTCCAAAATTCGCCGGGAGGAAGCTCGTCGGTGGGAAAGGGCCAACAAGAGGCCTTATACTGCTCATCAGTCTGGTCGAGGAGTGCTTGAAACTGTTTATGCTCAGGCCTTGAAGGCTGAACTTGCTGGCTATCAAGCTGTTCACGTTGGTGGGGTTTTATGGGATTTATCTAACTATTATGAGAATGTAAATCGGAAGAAATGGAAATCTCGGGCGATCTCCTCTGGATTTTCGGAGACGCTCACGTGTATTATGATGAATCAGTATGGGGGTCCCATGGCTGTCGCTACCAGAACATTGGCTACCTACGCGGGGTGTGCTACCAAAGGCTTCCCTGCTGGCTGCTCGTTTGCGACCTACAACGTCCAAATGTACGCGGTTTCCCCCATGGACTCCTGGGTTCCGAAGTTCCCCACCGTGGACCCCTCAATCTTCATAGATGATTTCATGTTGACAAGCAACAACACAAGCGTTCGCCTGTTGGTGTCGGACCTGGCGCAGGCCGCCGACAGCATGCTAGATTTAATCGAGGAGGGCCTCGACTGCTCGGTCGCCTTGCACATGGCTGCGGCGCTGGGCTCGTCTGCTGCAGTCCAGAACCGCCTGGCCAAAGCTCTAGGCAAGTACAGTGGACCAGAGGGAGTCAACCAAGCACAGTCTGCGCCAAACCTCGGAGTCGATTTCACCATGGGCAATAGGGTCTCGAAGAAGGCCCGAAAAACTCTGGCGAAGCGAACCTCCAAGATGGAACGTCGACTCCACCGCATGGCCCAGATTAGGCGAGCAGGTGCGAATATGCGGAAGGTTTATCAGACAGGTTTGAAAGCAGCCGCCTACTACGGCGCCGAGGTCGTCGGCCTCACCAACCCTGAGTTGCACGAAGCCCAGTCCCTCTACCTCAAGATTGTAGGGCCCCGCTGTGCTACAAGATCCAGGTCCCTGGCATTACCGATATTGGGGGGCCCGACGTGGAGTGCTGCTCTGGGGCCGGCCTGTCATTGGGCCAACCTGATCTGGAGAGTTGCTCATTATCCTGGTACGATCGGCTTTTCTCTGGTGGGTCTCCGTGAACAAGCCCTCCAGGTCCTCCACAAGCCCCCGACGAAATGGTACCAGATCCGAGGGCCCTAGGGACCACGCTGCTCAGCTTGAGTCGTCTGGGGTGGTCCATGCCCGACCCGCTCGTCATTCGAGACTCGCAAGGCCAGGACTACCCTCTCATCACTACCTCCCCTGCTCTCATCAAGAAGCTGTTTCAATCCCAGTGGCAGTTGCAGTTAGACATGAAAGCGGGGCAGAAGCTCGGTTTCGACGAGCCGCTCGACCCGTCGGTCATGCAGCACGCGCTGCAGGATAATACAGCGCAGGCCTACAAAAGGAAGACGCTGCTTTCATATGGCTGCCAGTGTATTTGGTCTAAAGAAAAGATGGCCGAGACAGGCTATCAGAATGAAGTCGAATGCGAGCTGTGCAAGGGCCCCGTGGACTCTATCCCCCACAGGCTCCTCGAGTGCCCGCAGACCCACAACTTGAGAGAGGAAATGATAAAGGAAGAAGATATCGAGGAGTTCAAGGACCCGAGGAGAGGATTTCCATATGTGTTAGGATTTCAACTTCGACCTGAACCCATAGCTCTGAGGCCCCCTGGTTTAGGACTAGATCAGGCTGTATATTGGTCTCGCGATGGGCTGCCCAAGGGGGTGGCCATGCAAGGAGAAGTTGTCCACGACGGCAGTGTTTTGAAACCTGGGCCCGCGGTGTACGACGCCCCCGCCTGGTCCGTGGTCAAAATCGACGAGGACGGCGACCTGGTTGCCAGTCTCTCAGGCCCTGTGGGGGCCAGTCTTCCCCCCGCGTCGCCTGCTGCCGAACACCTGGGGTTTTTAGTTGCTACCTCCTGCCCCAGAGTCACCAAAGCGTGGACGGATTTCAAGGGCATCCTCTCGGTGCACCAGGGCGCCGAAGTCTCACGAAAGGAAATGTATTCAGGAGTTTCGGTTCTGGCCAGGACCCAGAGCTGCTTTGCGTCTCTCGAGATCGGGCGGGAAAGTCAAGGCCCACCAGGATCTGTCGTCCCTGGCGGTTGGCTCGAGGGACTGGTTCGTTGCAAAAGGAAATGACTGGGCGGACAAGGTGGCCGAACAAGCTGCTGCCAGAATTCCCGCCCCGTCCCAGAGAGAAATCGAGTATTATAAAGAATGCCGTAGCCGAGTTCAGAGGCTTGCGAAGTATGCTGCTGAGGCGCTCTCCCTGTGGGCCCCTCTCGCTCCGAAGTCGGGCAAGAAGGCCTACGAGAAGCCCGCCCAGAGCCTCAGCCCCCCAGTCGGGGCAGCGGGAGCAGTCAGCCAGTGGACTGCACCACCCCCGCCCCCTGGGGGTCGTCCTCGGCGTGCTCGTGCGTGCCGTAACCCCCGGGGCGCGGTCAGACATCAGTGGGCATGGCTTAATAGTCATTGGCTGTGCCTAGCGTGTCATACCCGCGCCCGTACGGACAGTACCCGCAAGGCCCGCATGCGAGAAGCATGCCCAGGTAATTCAGCCATGTTGTCAAAGCTAATTCGGGAACCCCAGAAACACCATTTAATGATATGCGATTATCTTGATGTCGAGTCCTTCCTAGTCATTTGTAAGAGGTGCGGCCGCTACAGCGAAAGCAACCTCAAAGGACTCAAAGGTGAATGCAAGGAGCGCTTCCAAAACAAGTTCTCCCAAGGTGCGTGGTCCCTCCTGGCTAGCGGCCGTCATCCCAAGATTAGTATGAAGGCCCGCCCCCGACTTTCCCTGCCCATCCCTGCGGCCCAGCTCCTCAAGGAAGGAAGGGCGACGTAGTGACGAAAGTGAACGTAAGGGGAGAGCGGATGTAACCCTCAGGTTTCGGTTAGGGTCGGGCCGGCCTAACCCTAGCCTTCCTCATTAGCATGCGATGGTCCTCCTCCTCCTCCTCCTCCTCCTCCTCCTCCTCCTCCTCCTCCTCCTCCGCCCCCTCCTCCTCCTCCTCCTCCTCCTCCACCTCCCCCTCCTCCTCCACCTCCTCCTCCTCCCCCACCCTTGCCCTGACCAGACAGCGGCCTGGCCAAACCCCGTGTTATCGGCCGGCCCGCCTTGCTGGCCGCCCTGGCGCGCTCGCCAGCCACCGACGCTCGCCTGGCCGCGCCCTTGCCCAGCGCCTGATCCGCCGAGGCGGAGGAGCGGAGGAGGAGGAGGAGGAGGAGGAGGAGGAGGAGGAGGAGGAGGAGGAGAAAAAAGAGGAAGAGGATCGAGGAGGAGGAGGAGGAGGAGGAGGAGGAGGAGGAGGAGGAGGATCGAGGAGGAGGAGGAGGGGGAGGAGGAGGAGGAGGAGGTGGAGGAGGAGGAGGAGGAGGAGGTGGAGGAGTGGGGAGAAAAAGGCCATGTGCGGGGCAACGGGGCGGGCCTCAGCCCGCACGCCCCGCCGCCGCGTGGTGGCGGACAGTCCATGACGAGAAGGGCTACGAGACCACATCCGGCCGCGGGAGGCCGAGGGCAGCACGCGCCGCACCGCGTAGGCTGGGGCACGCCGCGACTACATCACTGAGAAGGACGTCGCCTTGGTGGTGAAGCGCGCCAGCCAGTACGCCGGAGCGCCACGAGGGCGCCATGAGGCGGCAAGCTGCACAGAGCTGTGCAACAGGCAGCCTCAGGGTGACGCGTCAACGGGGGCGCACGTGCCGAAGTACGACGAGTACGAAAGCAAGCACGACAATTGCAACGCTGAGTACGACGCCAGACACGACAAGGCCGAGCAGACCGAGGGGGGAAACAAGTACATCGTCGCGGAGATGGCGGTGGATCACGGCTACGCCGCCTGCGACGAAGACGACTACGACGCCCACAAACTTCGATGAAAACAACGGCTACGACGATGATTACGCCGCATGCGGCTTCGTCGCCCTGTCGCCCACCGTGCTGGCTGGCTCTTCGAGAGCCACCCGCAGAACTTCGAGGGCCATCAGCAGAGCTTCGAGGGCCACCAGCAGAGCTTCGACGGCGAGAAGCACGGCTTCGAGGACCACTTGCAGAGCCACCAGTGTGCCAGGGCCACCCGCAGAGGTTCGAGAGCCACCAGTTGAGCCACGAGGGCAAGAACCAGAGCCTCGAGAACCATTGGCTGAGCCTCGATGGCCTCCAGCAGAGCTTCCACGGCAAACAGCGGAGCGTCGAGACCACAAGCCGAGCCACGAGGGCCACCAGCCGAGCTACAAAGGCTACGACCTGAGCTACGCGGGCCACTAGCAGAGCTACGAGAGCCTCCTGCAGAGCTGCCAGGGAGACGAGCTGAGATGCAAGGGTCACGAGCAGAGCTTCGCGAGCCACCTGCTGAGCTACGAGGGCTGCGAGCATAGCTTCGAGGGCCACCAGCTGAGCTACGAGAGCCACCAGCGAAGCTTCGAGGGCCACAGGCAGAGCTTCGAGAGCAACCAACTGAGCCACGAGGGCCACGAGCTAAGCTACGAGGACCGACGGCAGAGCTACTGGAGCCACCACCAGAGCTGCCAGGGCCACCTCCCGAGCATCCAGAGCCTTCAGCAGCGCTACGAGGGCCACTGGCTGAACTGCGAGGGCGACCTGCTGAGCTACGAGAGCCACCACCAGACCTGCGGGGGCCATCGGCTGAGCCACCAGGACCGTGCGCTGAGCTACTATGGCTTCCAGCAGGGCTGCAAAGACCACCCGCCGAGCTACGGGGGCCGCCAGCCGAGCCACGCGGGCAACGAGCTCCTTCAGGGCTGCTGGGGCGACGAGCTGAACTGCAAAGGTCACGAACAGAGCTGCGAGAGCTTCCAGCTCGCCCCGGGCAGCCTGCTGAGCTGCGAGGGCAACAAGCTGAGCCGCGAGGGCCGCGAGCTGAGCCAGGGGAGCCGTTGGCAGCGCTGCGGGGCACAGCAGAGGAGAGGAGAGGGCAACCACCCGAGCTGCGAGGGCCACCAGCAAGACTGGCCGGGTCACCAGGACACGCGGGAGCCTCTGAACACGCAGGATTACGACGAGGGGTGCCCGCCTGCATCGTCGAGCTGGAGAGCCAAAAGCGCCACAACGGCCTCACGGATACCTTTGGCGCGTGGGATACGACCACTGAGCGCTGGGCATTCCGGCCAGGATCGGTGGCTGTCAGCGTCAAGAGTACCAACGTCGAGGCGACTGGCAAGTATCCAAAGAAGCGGTTCGCCATCATATACCCAGAGACGGCTCGAGCCTACCAGTTCAAGCGCTTATACAACGTCGCAGCCTCCGAGGGCCAGCCAGGGGGTGCCAAATATGTCGTCGATTTGCTCCATGATGAAAGCTTGCTCGGTGCAGCTTATGATCGAGTGGCGCAACTGATACGGTGATACCGGCCTACCTGAAGCCGCAGACCACGGATACCGATGCAGGAGGAAGAATACGGATATCCCGTCTACAGCGCTACAGACAACGGTATTACATGTACAATGTCGCATACAAGATGCTACGACTTCAGCATTCGCGCTGCAGCTCCACTGAGAGTCCTGGCCACTCCCCCTACATCTTTCCCCCCTCCTTCCTTATCGATCAGAGTACTCTGGATTATAAAAAGCGTTGGGGGGGGCCATCCGACGGGGGTCAACCTCGCATCGTCGTCGCGCCGCGACGGGGGTCAGAGCGCCTTCGGCGCGGGGTGGCTGCCCGCGACAGGGGTCGATGTGGGGCTGTCGGCGGGGGCGACGCCCCCCCGACGCTCACGAAGAAACTCAGAGTATGGCAACAGCGTGCGGCCCTCCCCCTACGCCTTCCCTCTTCGGAACCTACCATCGCTGGCGTGCGGCGCTATCGCCGCGGTATCAGCCCCGCGCCCGCGCGGGGGGCCGCGCCGCGGCGGAGATGGATAGCCGCGCCCCGCGCCAGGCTCTCAGAAAACAGTGGAGAGAGAGAGGAGGAGGATGGAGGCGGCGCTGGCAGAGGAGGAGGAGGAGGAGGAGGAGGAGGAGGGATAAGAAGAGAAAGAGGACGGAAGAAGAAGAAAAGAAAGAAACAGACACGGCAAGAAAACAACAAAGAGGGGGAGGAGGAGGAGGAGGAGGAGGCTGAGGAGGAGGAGGAGGAGCAGCAGCGATCACATGAGAAGATGCGCCGAGTTGGAGTGTGAGGCGGCGGAGGAGGCGGATAATAAAGGAGAAACACTATGTAGCAAGTCGAGCGAGAAAATAAATACAACTACGAGTAAGAATGTGATTCAGAAGGGGAACAAGACAATACTAATACTACTACCGTTATTGTTATCAAGGCGGCGAAGAGAACAGATAGCGAGGATAATAATGGGCAGAGGAAGAGAAATCGGATGGAGAACAAGCTGGAGGGATGACGAGGGGAGGAAGAGGAGGAGGAGGAGGAGGACCAGTCTAAACCCAAGAGTCATCAACGATGCTGGAATAAGCCCTCCCTCCAAACTCCCTCTTCATAGGCTCCTACAACGGGTCACTTCCACTAAGGGAATTGCCTCGTTAGAAGGCAACCGCTTTGAGACCCTGAAGCATGCCAAAACATTGCTCTCGGAATTTCAATGCCAAGCGTAAACCTGACTGTTGCGTCTTGACGATCCTGAATCGTGCCAGAACGCCGTTCCTGGGACTTCAAACTTGCGAATCAACGTAATTGTTCCGCCCGCATTATCGTGAATCCTTCCAAAAAACCATTCCTGGTACGGTGACCCCGGGAATCCGTGAAACTCTTGCAAATGTTTAAAACGAATGCGCGCGGCGCTAAGGCGAGAACCACATTTTGAAAAGGAACCACCCGCAATCCGTGAAGCTCTTGCGAATGTTTGAAGCGAACGTGCGCGGCGCTAAGGCGAGAACCACATTTTGAAAACGGATCGCCCTCAATCTGTGAAGCTATTCAAACATTCATAAACGAATGTGCGCGGCGCTGAGGCGAGAACCACATTTTGAAAACGGGTCGCCCTCAATCCATGAAGCTCTTGCACATGTTTAAAACGAACGTGCGAGGCGCTACGGTGAGAGCCACATCTTGAAAACGGGTCGCCCTCAATCCGGGAAACTCTTGCAATTTTTTAGAACGAATGTGCGCGCGCTAAGGCGAGAGCCACATTTTGAAAACGACCCGCCCTCCATCTGTGAAGCTGTTGCCAAATTTCAAGCTCCAGAATCATACATGGTGAGGAAGTCGCAGGCGAAACGCCCAGCCCGCCCCAAAAATTGGCCTCGGGGTGCGACAGGGAGAAACTACTTAGAAGGAAAAGGAATGAAGGAGGAGGAGGAGGAGGAGGAGGAGGAGGAGGAGGAGGAGATCGAGGAGGAGGAGGAAAGAGGAGGAGGGAGGAGGAGGGAGGAGGAGGAGCAGAAGGGACGAGGAAGAGGAGGTCCAGGGACGAGCAGGAGGCACGAGCAGCAGGAGGGAGGCGTGGCGAGCAGGCAGGACGAGACCCTGCCCTGACTCCGGATCCGCCCTACTTTGGGGAAATTCGTAAGTAGGGCTTGGAATTTCCGCCTTGAGGAGGAGATCGAGGAGGAGGAGGAAAGAGGAGGAGGGAGGAGGAGGGAGGAGGAGGAGCAGAAGGGACGAGGAAGAGGAGGTCCAGGGACGAGCAGGAGGCACGAGCAGCAGGAGGGAGGCGTGGCGAGCAGGCAGGACGAGACCCTGCCCTGACTCCGGATCCGCCCTACTTTGGGGAAATTCGTAAGTAGGGCTTGGAATTTCCGCCTTGCTTTTCAAGCCCCGCAATTTTAAGCTGGAAAAAGCCAAAGTAGGGCGGATCTGGAGTCAGGGTGGGCGGCCAGTGAGCCTCCTTCCCCGAGGCCGGGTCGCTCTGACTGCCGCCGCGCCGCACGGGCGCCCTCGCCGGCGCCCCGCCGCCGCCGCTCGCGCCCGGCGCCCGCTGCGCCGAGGCCGCAGCCTCGGCGGGCGTGCGGGGGCGGGCGGGGCTCCGGGGACCCAGCCTGACCGAGGAGGGAGGAGGGAGAGGAGGAGGAGGGAGGAGGAGGAGGAGGAGGAGGAGGACGAGGAGGAGGAGGAGGAGGAGGAGCGAAGAGAAGGAGGGGGGGAGGAGGAAGAGAAGGAGGAGGGGGAGGAGGAGGAGGAGGAGGAGGAGGAGGAGGAGGAGGAGGAGAATGAGGAAGGAGGAGGGAGAAGGAGATCGAGGAGATCGAGGAGGAGGAGGAGGAGGAGGAGGAGGATCGAGGAGGGAGATCAAGGAGGGGATCCAGGAAGAAGATCGAGGATCGAGGAGGGGATCGATGAGGAGGAGGAGGACGGCATCGAGGTTCGAGGTTTCGGGAGATTTCGTCGGTCCTTGGCGGCATTCCAGCCTCTGGATGCTTTCCAGCAGCTGCGCCTCGCCAGGAAGCGTCCGGGTGTGCCCGGATCGTCCCGAACGGCCACCAGAGACCCGAATCCCACCAGCCCTCTGGGCGCAGGTGGTCTAGAGCGTTTCCTTTTCCAACCTCCTGCCTTTCCCTGCTTGGGAGGTTTACCTCCCCCGGGCCCCGACCCATAGCAGCGTCCAGGATGGCCCAAGATGGCTCCAAGAAGGCTTCAGATAGCGGTCGATGGGTCAAGATAGCCTCCGCCACCACGTCGAAGAGGCCTCAAGACGATCCCAAGACGGTTTCAAGTGCCCTCCGAGGCCTCCAAGGACCCCCCCAAGAGGCCAAAATCTTTCAAAAACCTAAGGAAAATCAATATCGTTAGCCTTCTCGCTTTTTCGCCTCCGATGGGCTCTTGAGGCCTCAAGATGGCCCCAAGACGGCCCAAGATAGCCCCAAGAGGGGTCCAAGAGGGCCCCAAGACGGCCCCAAGAGCGCCCAAGAGCGCTCCAAGAGCGGCCCAAGAGGGCCCCAAGACGGCATTTTTGAGCCTCCGAGGCGGCGAAGGGAATTAAGACCCCCCATCTTTTTTAGCGAAAGGGCCCAAGACGGCCCCAAGAGGCCCCTCAGGCTTCCCAAAAGAGCCCCAAGAAGGCCCCCAGACCCCCCAAAAGAGCCCCAAGAGGGCCCAAAAGAGCCCCAAGAGGGCTCCAAGAAGGCCCTAAGAGGACCTCAAGGGAGCCCCAAGAAAGAGCTCCAGGAGGGCCCCAAGAGGGCCCCAAGAGAACCCCAAGAGAGCCCCAAGATGGCTCCAAGTTTCGAAACGCACGCGAGTTTATCAGTGCAACAGCCATTACGAGTCATCGAAACACCCCTCACCCCTCATCGAAGCACCATCGTAACTTGCACCGATTTCCATCTTAAACTTCAATGCGGGAAGCTCTTTGTGATCCTTGTTTTCCCGAAGACGGCTGCGCGACTGCATGCGTCCTGCCGCCCCTGATTCACCAACTCCCCTGCTAATCGTTTGTGGATGGGCTGGTGGGGATACTTTTTGATCGCGACCGTAGCGATAAATCGCTCGGCGTCACATGGCTGATGGGGACTTTTTTTTTTCGCGAGCGTCGCGGTCCAACCGCGCGCCGTCCGAAGCTGGTGGGGATACTTTTTTTGTTCGCGAGCGCAATCGGAGGAGCCGCGCGCCGTGCCGTCGCCTCCGCCCAACTTTCCAGCTCCTCTGACGTCGAATTCCGCCACACTGTGCCGCCGCCTTTTCCGCCCCACCTTTGCAGACAGATCCGCACTTTTCCCTGAGCCGGGAATTTCCGCCCTCCTTCCTACTTTCTCGTATCGCTTGGGATGCATGTCAAACACACTTGTCAATCGGAGAAACAACCAAAATACGTATGGCGAATCTGGACTCAGGGCACCCCCCTGAAATCCTCTCAAGACTCTCGTTACGACAGAATCGCAACGGAAAAAGGGTTGTTCGTTCTGAGCCTCGGGCGGGCATCACTGGGCCGGCAGCCGCTGGCTTCGCCCGGGGCTGGTTTCGCCAGGCTGGTTTCGCCCGACTGGTTTCGCCCGGCTGGTTTCGCCCAGGCTGGTTTCGCCCGAGGCTGGCTTCGCCCGGGCTGGTTTCGCCCGGCTGGTTTCGCCCGGCTGCTTTCGCCCGGCTGCTGGAGGAGGGATGACGAGGAGGAGGAAGAGGAGGAGGAGGAGGAGGAGGAGGAGGAGGAGGAGGAGGAGGAGGAGGAGGAGGAGGAGGGGGAGGAGGAAGGTGGGGAAGGTGGGGGGGGAGAGATGGAGGTGGAGGTGGTGGAGGAGTGGCTGAGGAGGGCAGGACGGAGGGAGGAGGGAGAGGGTTAAGGCCGCCGGACCCGACCCGACCCGACCCGCCCGTTAGGGTCCGCCCGACCCGACCCGACCCGACCCGCCCGTTAGGGTCCGCCCGACCCGACCCGACCCGACCGTTATGGCTCTCGCGTGCCCACTCGATTATGCACCACACTTTAATGTCCCGCCCGCCCGACCTGGCTCGCCCGTTAGGGTCCGCCCGTCCCGACCCGACCCGACCCGCCCGTTAGGGTCCGCCCGACCCGACCCGACCCGACCGTTAGGGTTCTCGCGTGCTCGATTATCACCACACTTTAACTCTTAATGTCCCGCCCGCCCGACCCGACCCGCCCGTTAGGGTCCGCCCGTCCCGACCCGACCCGACGGCGACGGCGACGACGACGACGACGACGACGACGACGACGACAACGACGGCGGCGGCAGCGGACTCGGCGAGACCAGCCCCGGTGAAACCAGCGGGGCGAAACCAGCGGGGCGAAACCAGCGCCGGCGAAACCAGTGTCGGGCGAAACCAGCGCTGGCGAAACCAGCGTCGGGCGAAACCAGCCCCGGCGAAACTAGCCCTGGCAAAACCAGCCCCGGCGAAACCAGCCCGTGCCACTGGGCCCCGGGACCGTCAACAAAAGACCACTCAGGACGAAAAGCCCGTCCTGGGGAAGGGTTCCGGACCTGGGGAGCCATGCTGCCACAACAACCACGACGTTCAGATGTCTGGGCCTCTGCTCCACCTAAGCGGATTCACTGCAGAACCGGATCTCGAGCGGAGCTCTCTTCCAGCTCTCCAAGCCCATGAAACGTGGCCGTGCCCATTTCGCAGCGTTGTCTCAACTTGCTGCGGTCACACGCCCGTGTTGGCGGGCATGCTGTGTGAGCCCTCTGGGGAGCCCTCGGAAGCCCGACAGGGCTGGCGTGAGCCCGTGTTGGCCCCCGTGGCCCCGTGGGGCTGTGCGGTCCCCGTGTTGGCCAGGGCCGCCGCTCCTGTACCGAGCCCTCGTGGCGCGAACCGAATGGACGGCGCCGGGTGCGACAGGGCTCGCGGTGTGCGGCCCGCGAAGGCCCCCGCCCTGGGCGCCAGCCCAGACCCGGAAGCGGCAGGCTGCGCGAACGAAGACGGACACCACGACAGAGGAGAAGGAGGGAGAGGAGGACGGGGAGGAGGAGAAGTCAGGATAGATGACGAGCGGCGAGAGGAGAAGGGTGAGGAGAGGGAGGGGGAAGGGCAGGAAAACGAGAAGGGGGAAGAGGCGGAGCAGAATGCTCGAGCCACTTTGGGCTCAAGCCATTTGGGCTCGTGGGGGAGGATAAGGCAGCCCAGCGGCGGGGCCGAAACAAGCTGGCTGCGTGCAGCAGATGTCATGTCCCCCCTGCCCCCGGGAGGCCTCTGGAGGTCTCCAGACCCAGACCCCCTCGCGCTGTGACAAAAGTCGTGACGGAACGGTTTTCGCCATTTTCGGCCTCCGGGCAGCCTCACGAGGCCCAGGAGCACCCCCTCTCGTCCGACCCGGCTCTCCTCTCCTCTCCTCTCCCCCCCCTTTGGGGGCGCCTTCCTCGGGCAGTCCGAACCCAGCGCCGCCGTTGGGCAAGGGCCTGGCTGGACACCCGCTCCTGCCTGGGACGGTGCTGTGACGAACCGTGCGGCGGCCTGACGCCAACTCCAGCAGGAAGCACTCTTGCACCCCTGGAACGCTCTCTTGGGGAGGCTTGCGGTGTGGGCGTCCCCCCCGAGGCCCTGACGCCCCTTCCAAGCTGCCGCCTCGCCGCCGCCGCCGGCCGCCCCCCCCCCCCCCCCCCCCCCCGCGCCCCTCCCCCCTCCTCGAGGTGCGGGCGGTCACAGGACGTGCCTCGGTGCCCCCCCCCCCCCCTCAATCGGGCACGCACCTGACATGGACCAGGGATCTCGGCGGATCTGCGCGTGGGCGCCAGATCCACCGACCTGAGGAGAGTCCCCCCCCCCCGAGGCATGCAGCCAATGCCGCCTGCTTTGTTTGCAGCGGTCGCCGCTTCCGCATGGATATGCGCGGCCCCTCGCTGACCCATGCATCGCTAATCTGGCCATCGATCGGACGTCCATTTCCTGTGCTTTTTCTCGGTTTCGTGCGTGGTTTTTTTCGCCAAATGATCAAGGATGCTCCTCGATGGTCCTCGCCGAAGGAAAACTGCACACGTCCGAGCGATGCGATGCCAAGTAATCCATTTCGTTGCGCTTCTTTGGCTCGAGCCCTCCAGTCCGCTGCGAACGAGGCGCTGGCCAGAACAAGGTCCCCCCAAGAGCCTCCGTAAGACCCCCAAGCGATGCCCCGCAAGCAAGTGCCCCCGCGAGAACCACGAGCGATCCCCCCCCAGGAGCCTCCGCGAGGCCCCCGGAGCGATCCCCCCCAGAGCCTCCGCGAGACCCGCAGAGCGATTCCTCCTCCTGCTCCTGCTGCCGCTGCTCCTCCTCCTCCTCCTCCTCCTCCTCCTCCTCCTCCTCCTCCTCCTCCTCCTCCTCCTCCTCTTTCTCCTCCTCTTTCTCCTCCTCCTCCTCCTCCGTCTCCCTACCCTTCACCGCATCCTTCTCTCCTCCTCCGCCTCCTCCTCCTCCGCCTCCTCTTCTCCATGCACCGTGGGTCTCGGTCATCGGCAGGGGGACTCAGGGGCCCTCGTCGTACGAGGCTGAACTCGATCGATTTCGGCCGCTCCTCAGTCGATTTCGGCTCGTGGCTTGGGGGGGA